AAGTGATTACGCACATTCCATAGTGATAACGCGCAAGATCTGTGATTTTGGCCTCTCTGGAGTTATCACTTTGGCTTCATAGTGATAACGCGCAACGCCCCCAAAGTGATTACTCTCGCTCCATAGTGTTTACGCGCAGGTCCTGTGTTTTTGCCCTCTCTGGAGTTGTCACTTTGGCATCAGAGTGATAACTTTGGCTGCTCCAGAGTGTCTACTATGATTCCATAGTAGCTACGCGCAGGATCTTGTACTTTTTGACCTTTCTGGAGTTGTCACTATGGGTTCATAGTGATCACTCTGGTCTACCTTTCTGGAACAAGCTTGCTGTAGTGTTCACTATGGACTCCAAAGTGATCACTTTCACCTCAAACTTTCTAAAATGCTAAAAATCCATGGAAAAAGTCTAGAAACTCCTGCACAATTATTCAAATGATCAAAATTACAAACTATATTTATGTAAATCAATGTAAATTAACCTAAAATTAAGAAATCTGTTATAAATTGACCAAAATGATATTTTTATGTTATTTACAACCCTAAGTTTACTTTTTTCAATTAAGAAACATTAAAATAACAAGTAAAAATCCAATAAAATGTGGATTCATCAATGGGTTTCCATATGCTATCATACCTCACAACACACAGCAAATTCCATCAAATGCATATTTCCTACCCTTTATCTCAACCACATTGCAATATTCATCAAAATATACTACAATAAAACCAAAAAGGATAGGGTAGAGTCCCCCTTATCTTGGATTGAAGACCCACACTCGAATTCAACCACAGAAGTGCTCTCTACACGGATTTTGACCTAAATACATGGGAGAAATCCATGAGAATCCAAGGAAACCGAGAAACAGAGAAAGGGGGTGAAAAATGAAAACCCTAACCATTAAAACTCACCTTCAAGCGTTCCCAACATAAATTCAACCTTCAGTCAAGCTTCCGAACGGCTTTGGAGACAATTTAATTGGTGGGATAGGGTTTTGGGTCAAGAGAATTGAAGAAATTTTGAATGGAGGGTGAGAAATAACCTTTCTCGAACCTTAACCCCTTTAAATCCTCTCTAGTCATGTCACTCTCACTACAGCAAAAATCTCAGACGAAATTGCACCCTGGCTTCTGCAAATCTCGCTACAGCGAGACTGCACCCAGAAATGTACCCTAAATTGTGGCTTTGTCGCTACAACGAGACATTCTCGCTACAGCGACAAGGCGATAGTTTCACGCCTTTTTTCCAAGGACCTCTCGCTACAGCGAGAGCACCTTGCACCAGGCACTCAGCCTATTTTCCAAATCCAGCCACATACATACATACATATATATATATATATATATATATATATATATATATATATATATATCCCTATTCATACATATCATCGTTCAATTAGTCATCACGCACTCAAGTGCAAATTTACATATACATATATGTACATATATATATATCAATAATCAATATTACAAAATTCAGAGCGTTACACTAAGGCTTTTATCTGTGATATGGAAAAAGAGAATTCAGAGAAAATCTCGCTAGAGTAACAACATCTCGCTTGAGCGACAGGTCTATCACCTGAGTGAGATATGTGGACAATGGTTTTTCTAACATTTTCTGATATGCTCGCTTCAGCAAGCTCCATCTCGCCTGAGCGAGATCACTCTCGCTTGGTGATAACCACGTCGCAATGGTATCAAACAAGCTAGATTTTCTCAAAAATTGTGCAATACAAGAAGCAAACCTAGGTCATCTCTCAAGGACATAAAATGCATTTTATTTTTAGTTCCATCATGCAATTTCAAATTAGATTGGGGGAGGATTTGTTTTGAATTTAAACGACAAAATAACAAAAATGAAAATTAAGGATTATGAAATTCAACCAATTCAATATCTCAATCCCTACAATGCAATTCTCTTCGTTCACACAAATATAATCCCAACGAATTTCCAATCACACTAATTCAATGCGCATCAACAACCCTAAAATCTAAATCTAGATTATGAATTCCATCAAAACAAGAACCGCAATCGCAAACCCAATGCTTTAACAAAATTTAGAACAATTGATTGATTAAATTAGGTGAATCCAATTAATTCAAATCTGAAATTAACCTATTCTTTCTATTTAGGATGCAACGAAAATTTCATATCATGAAAAACGTAATTAACCTAATTAGAAAAAAGGAAGGAAAGGAGGAATTCGATAAAACCTATTTTGAAACTCAAATGCAATGTAGTTTTTGAAACCTTGAACCGGTTGATGAATTAGCCTTGCTTCATAATCATGTTGCTCGACCAATTAGAGAAGGGGATGAAGTTTCCGAAAATAAAAGAGAGGGAGAAGAGAGGAATCCTTACGAAAGCTTTTATTTAAAATTCTGAAAATTAAGGCAAAAAAGAGGGAAGAAGATCCCCACGCGAAATCATAAACCCTATTTAAAGACAAAATAATTGGGCTTAATTAAGGCCCAGCTTCCTAACGAGGTTCCTAAAACCCTAATTAAGTAATGTCAACAATAAAACCAAATTCTGAAAAATTCATTGCAGGACCGCAACATTGTGACGCCGTTTTGGGCCTGAAGATGTTCGAACTGGGCTTTTCTCGCAACAGAGAAGTTGTAGATCTCTCTCTTATCTTTCCAGGGACACCAATTTTGTCCAATTCTGAGTAGTGTAGCTCCAGATATGGTCTTTTCAAGAAACTGTGTCAAAACAAGAATTTATGGCGGGAATTAAGAAAGATTTAAATTTAAATCCTAAATGATTTACCAACACAAATCTAAACTAACACATCAAAATAATATACTAAAAAGACTCAATTAAATCGAAAACATAGAGAGAAAGATGTATTAAAATATGACTATCACTTGGACGAGGTGACGATTGAGCTAATTCTATCCTATCTCATTTGAACGAGATTCCCTGCAACAAGCTCCTCTAATACTCTTCAAAATACACTTCTAACACATCTTAATATCATTTAATATCAAACTAAACACAATTTCTAAATAAAGGAAAAGAGGGTGTTACACTGGGCGAGCTGCTCCCAGCCTAAACGAGATCTCTTCTCGTCTGGGCGAGAGGACAGTTGAGATAACTTTATCTTATCTTACTTGAGTAAGAGAGATTCAAAACGTTCCCTTTTAGAAAATCCTACCTCGCTTGAGCGAGATACCTTTTATTCAAATTCTTATTTTTTCTATCCAAGAGCAACAAAATTTAAGGTGTTACACTAATAGCCTTTTTTGGTACTTTAAAGATCGGAGAGAGTTTTAGAAGATTATAAATTTAATTATAATGAGAAAATTTTTATTTTATTTTTTGGAAGAGCTTTGCTCTTTCCTTTAAAATTTTATATTTAGAAAAAAAAAAGTATTTTTGTGTATTTTATTGTATCTAAGAAAAGATCAAACAAATAATAAAAACAAGGGCGTGGAAAAAGTGTTAAAACACCGTACAAGGAGGAAAAACACAATAAAAAAATGAGGAAATATAAAAAATATTATTTAATAATTTTCTTAAGATTTATTATTGCATTTATAGAAAAAAAACCAAATGAGAGTGAAAGTACATACCAAAACAATAACAAAGATACAACCAAAAGAAAGTTTATTATTGCATTTTTGTTAGGTAGTCTTCCTCCTTTTCTAACAATTTGCTCAACTTTTTTCATCTTTAAATTGTATTGTTTTTCTTTTTCACTCTTTTTATTGGTGTTTTTTTTAGAATACGTATACTAAGAATGATATACTTTTCTTAAAATTTCTCCTTTATTTTTGACTTTCTCGTCTCCTTCTTCCTTTATCATTTCTCTCTCTTCTCTCTTTTCAAAGGATACTTCTTTCTTATTTATAATTCTTCTTAATTATTATTTAATATTAATTTTTATTTGATTTAAATAAAACCTCCATCATCTCCTCATCCCTTGTTTTTCTATAACCACCGATTTGTCCTTTTCCAGCATCATATCTACTCTCTTAGAAAATCTATCCATTATCTTTGATTATTTTAAAATTTTTCAAATAAGTTTTTATCCATTAACTTACTCATGTGAAATCTCGAAACATCTATCTCATTTTAGATTTTTTTTAAAATTTAAAATTTAAAAATTAAGTTTTGAATTTTTTTTAAATAGGTTTTGAATTTGTATTTTATATTATTTTCGTAGCGTGGTATTCGTGTCTTGTGTTATATCCATTTAGATTTTAGGAGTTTTTAAAATATGAAGAGAAGAGTTTCAAAGACTTTCTAAACCTTATTATGTTTTAAAGGTTTTTTAAACTAAGTTTTTGTTAAGCCTCATTTGCTTTGCCTCATAAACTCTTCTATTCTAATTTTGTTATTACATGTGCCTTTGTATTTGGATTATCGATTATATTTGTATAATGTTTTTTTTTTTAACAACCTCGCGAGCTAAACAAAAATGAAAGACAAAAAAGACAAGAAGAAAAAAATAGTTATCTTACGATGAATGTATAACCAAACAAAAAATCAGAAATATAAAAGGGAAACGGGTGTAAGTTTGGAAAGATCAAAATCCAAATAATAATAATAATAATAATATAAGTTTAACCACAGACCGAAAAAATATTTCAATCAGGCTGTTAACAATTAATCACCATTGGATGAAATATTGGATAAATGTTACGAACATCTTATCGATGAAGTATAAAAAAATAAAAATAAAAAATTAGGGATTAATTCTACAGACTTATTAAATGGACGAGGTAACATTCTTGTTATCAGCATTCATCAAATATCATCATGACTTTAATCAGGTCTAAGATTTCCGACAAATCCAACCTCTTATTTTGTTATAAGAACATAAAGTATGTTCTTAATACTTCCTTATTATGGATTGAATATAAAGTAAAACAAAACTTAATTTGAAAAGTGAGAAAGACACGTTCTTTATATTTATTTATTACTGCAATTATTGTAACAAAGCGTACACACCGTTAAGAGAAAGTACATATGATTTTTCCTGGTTAGCGCAACCTCAAGCATCATCTTTTTCAACTTTCCTAAAAACAACGAGTAACGGATTCTTTTCCTTCAAAACCAAGGTCTTGTGGAAGCCTTGAACATGAGTCCCAACATATCCGCACTTGTCGGTGTTTATTTCACAGAAGCGAAGCTTATAGGCAAAGTCAATCTCACCTTTCTCAATTAGAAACCAACCATTCACTGTATGATCATAACCAGTGAGTTTAACAACTGGTCCGTGAGGTAGACCCTCGACAACAGTCCACTTTGATGGAGTGGGGGCACACTTAGGCACAGCAGTGAATGCCAAATCCAGAGGAAGGCCAGTATTGATATAAAGAATTTTGAAAGGGCTTGAAATTCTGATTGGTAGTCCTGGAGACAACTCATTCTCTACTACAACAGATAGAGGGCATGTTTCGTTTCCAGTTTTGGCGTATCCTATTCCCCCGCCCACTGCCCATATAACCGGTGAGATATAATATGCGCCACCATTTATGATTGGATTACCATCTGTGTCCACCACCACACCAGCAGTGGCCCAAGGTAGGTATGAGAAGAAGGCAGAAGAAAAAAGGAAGAAACCAAATATGGTAGTACCCTTCATTTCTTGGGTTACTTGTCAAAGACTCTTTTGCGTTATTCAATGGCGAGGGTGTGTGCAGAGTTGTAGATAGATGGTTGTATTTATAGACCTACGTACGGTGACTCAAACCTAATTTTGAAATAACACTGTAATTAATATAACAAATTGTTATAAAAACAATTTACATGTTTATTTTTCTTTCGTCGCTTTCATCGTATGCGCACTCATCTTATTTCATGTATATATAATTGGAATATGAATGAAATGAAGTAAGATAATTATAGTATTACAATTTCAATTGTTTAAAATAAAATATAAGAAATAAGAATTAACGAAAATATTTCATTTCATTTTATTTATGAGCGCTATTTTATTTTAATTTTTTTATATCAATAACTGATATTAAATAAAATAAAATGAGATTATTAATTCGTTATGTTTTATAAATTAAGTCATGTAGTAGCAGGACATAACGTTATATATATATATATATATATATATATATATATATATATATATATATATATTATTGTATAATATATATATATAAATTATTGTTAAAAATAGTGAAGATATTCTTATAAATAATTAAAGAATCTATAATAATTTTACTTGAATAAAATTGTTTCCAATAAAAAAAATTACCAGTATTATAGGGAAAAAAGTATTACAAATTTTATTCCACGGGTACAATTTGTGGTGGCAAATAATATTGATTGATGAATCATTGATAAAAAGCCAAAATTAGCCGTCCAAAATCTTGCAAATGTCCAAATCTCAGAGAATTTAATAAGACGTATGATAAATTGTAATTTCTATTCTTGGGTTTGGTATTGCCTGTAGTAAAAGAGAAGGGAGAAGGGATATGCTTATTAATTATTTAGATAAGTACAGTGTAGTTTTTGTGGTTATATAGAAATAGAATTATGTTTTCTAATGGTATTTTGGATGAGAAAGAAGTCCTACATTCTATTATTATGAGGTCTTGAAATAACTATCACTTGTTAAGGAAGAAACTATTTTGTTAGTTGATTGGTATTTACACCCACGAAATTGTATCCGTCTTAACTTTGTATAAATATATTTTTGTGTTCTATTCCTTTGAACTCTCTCTAATAATATTTATTTTACCTATAAAAAAAATTGTAATTTCTATCATGAAGATAACGAAACTATAAATAGACGGATCGTTGTACAGTTGTCCAACTGATAAAATTGCTTAAACAACGGTTTTATGTATATTATAGATATAGGTAGATTCAATTTACTTCCACATGAAAATAATTATACAAGTGATGGTTATAGATATTAGTTCACAAATTAATAACTACAATATTTTACTAAAAAATGTGACAGATTAGCATTAAATATTTTGTATGAGTTTTTTCATATTTTATATTTTTAATTTTTTACCTTTATTCTCAAATATTGATTAAAGTAGTTCATAAAATATTAATACTATTTTTTAAAATAAAATTAAAGGATAACTATAAATATAATTTTTAACTGATATCCTTAACAAATAAAAATATGTACGGTGGAATTAACTTGTATAACTGTTACTGGCTTGAAATGACTCTTTCTATGTTCGTATTCTAGAAGAAAAAAAATTTGTGCCATGTGAATCGCGTCCATGTGAATCGCGTGCTTCTTCAACACTCTTCAATTATAAACATGGATCTAGTTTTTAATATAATTAAAAATTTCAGGAATTAACTTGTATAACTGTTACTAGTCCATGTAACTTACTGGCTTGAGATGACTCTTTCTATGTTTGTAGGCTAGAAAAAATAAAATAAAATTGTGCCATGTGAATCACGTGCTTCAACACTTTTTAATTATAAACATGGAGGAAATTTATATCTTATATATTCTTCAGTTGTTATTATTTTTTTATTAATTAGAATTTAAGTTTTATTTTAATAAAAAATTACATTTAACAGTACCATAAATCATCAAAATAAAATTTTATTTTAAATTAATAAATAACACTAATAATATTTTAAAAAAATACACCTAATTTTTTTTTAAAATTGTACATTCGGAGACCATCGGAGCTCCTTATTTTCAACGGGTATAACAAAAGATAATTATATAGAATTAAGTAATGTTTTTTGGGGGAAACAGACATTGACATAGGGACAAGTGTTGTGTAAGCAATTAAGCCCTTAGACACTGGGAAATATATAACTTCCCATATGGCAAATTAAAGTACAACGCATGCAAATGGGAATGGTGTTCAAGAACAGTGTATCCTTTTACACGCAGACAAATTTGACGATTCAAGTTTTGCCTTCCAATCCTGCATGTTTAAAGCGCCATGGTGCCACCAAATATTTTAATAGGATATAATATTTTGTAAAAATCCAAATCTAAGAGATAAAATAAATAAGTTCTGAGATGCATGTTAAATTGCCACTCCTATAATTAAATTTTGGATGACCCTCAAATTTTGTTTTCAAATCTTGCATGTTTATAAGTGCCATGCTGCCCCCCAAATTTTTTAATTGGATAGGATATTATATACGTTTTAAAATAACTTATCATGTTTTATCATGTTTAAAATAACTTATCCTAATATTAAAATTATTTTTTTAAGATTTATATTTTATATTATTTTTTACTTAACATTGTTTACTATTATAGCCACAGCTTTTTAATTTTGTCTCATATCCGTGCTTCCATGTATTTTCTATTCACTTCTTAAAAACTCTTAGACATTACTTACTTACATTTGAGTGTTAACTTTAAGTAGAAGAGAGAAAATGAGGAAGTTTGGTCGACAACAAACCTTGTTCAAAAGTTTAAAAATTGAGGGGAGGAGTTTGGAAACTTTTGTAAACCCTCCAAACTTTTTACAAACTCATATTTTAAAGTTTCTATAAATTGAAGAGTTTTTGTTAAGTCTCATTTGTTTTTTTCTTTTTCCTCTTCTCGGTGTTATTTTTTAAACTCTTCCTTTTCATTTCACTTTAAACCTTAAGCAAAGACATAAACAAAGGTCATTTTTAAGTAAGAAAGTTATTTTTCTTCATCATACTTCTAAATTAGACTCTCAAAAAAACTTAATGCAGTAGGTGTTGATAGAATAATAGTTGTTTTTATTAGAGATAATATTAAACTTCCATAATTAATTTCTCTATATATGTTTTTATATTTATATTATTTATTATATATGTGTAATGTTTTTCTTACATCTTCATGAAAGATAATAAAAAAAATAAAAAAATTAGTCATGAGACTGCATCAACTGCCGCCAGCTCAATAAGGTGACTATCGAAAATAAATACCTATTGCCAAGAATTGATGACTTGAATGGACCAATTGAGAGGAGTCGCAATATTTTTAAAAATAGATTTGAAATTTAGATATCACTAAATCCAAGTTAAGGCAAAAGATGTCCCAAATATAGCATTCAAGTCTTGTTATGATCACTATGAGTATTTAATTGTGTCCTTCATTATGACTAATGCTCTTATTGTGTTCATGAACTACATGAATCGTGCTTTTTACCTTTACCTGGATAAATTTGTCATGGTGTTTATTGATGACATTCTAACCCAATCATGTAATCATAAGGAATGCATTGAACACTTAAGAATTGTATTAGAGACCTTACGCATGAGGCAACTCTACACTAAGCTCTATAAATGAGAATTTTAGTTAGAAAAGGTACAAATTTAGGAACATATTATATCTAAAGAATGCATAACTATTGATCACTATGATAACCACCAAAGACTATCACAAGAGTTCAAAGCTTTTTGAGACTAGCAGTAGTCGATAGGATCAGACGTCCAAGTTCTGATTCGAGCAACAATTAGAGTTTGAAGGGGTTTTATCTGAGGAAAAGATGTGAGAGTTTAGAGAGGGAGTTGAGAGAAAACGTAGAAATGAAATGTAATGAGGTTTTCATGCTGAAAATCTCTTAAATATCTTTCTTATCTCGCGCGCTCTCACTTGAGCCAAATCATCTTTGCTTGGGCGAGAAACCAGACAATGGTTCCTCAAGCTTTTTCTGATATTCTCGCTTGAGTGAGGGTTGTTCTTGCCTGAGTGAGAAAGTATCTAAAGAGTTGGCTATTTTTCTCAATGAGTCATCGCTTGAGCAACTCATCTTGCCTGGGCGAGATCTCTGCTTGCTTGAGTGAGATCACAGGTGAGAAGACAATTGGGCCAAGTCTATCCTGTCTCGCTTGAGCGAGACCTATTCTTGCTTGAGCAAGATTGTTTTAAAAATCATGTGGTTCTAGGCGTTCAATCTCGCTTGAGCGATATCCTCTACACCAAACCTCTATCAAACACTCACCAAATCAAATTAAAATACTTCCAACATTACCCACTATCAAATAATTTATCAAATAATAAAAAATGAGGGTGTTACAATTGAAGAGTGTGATTTTCAATAATGTATTTCTAAATTGTACGATTGGTCTGAATCCAAAGGTGTCCAACCTTCAGCGCATTGTATTCATTTGAATGACAATGTGTTTCTTGTTTTATAAATATATGGTTAAATGAGAATTCGGGTTGTTTGTATAAGACTGATGAAGATTGTTTGGCTATTCTTGAATGAATAAATGTACCTTATCATGTGTATGTAAATTGGGCTAAGTCTATATATGTGTGACCTTAAACACGTTTTATTTAATTGAATGATGAGAAATAGATGAAGAAAAATGTATTAGTAGTGAAAAGTAATGAAAGAAACTGTTGTGAATATTTGAGAATTGTTGAGAAATATGAATGAAAGAGAAAGGGTGATCAATACATGTGCTGTAAATACATTGATTAGTATGCTTATAATATATGTGTTGTAATACATCGACTAGTGCGATTATAATATATATGTTGTGATATATTGATTAGTGTAATTATAATACATGCATTATGACAATATTGATTGATGTGAATAGTATGATATAAGTATATGCCATTGTTAAGTTTTCATATGGATAGTTCATAGATACACGAAGTCAATTTAGAAATTTAGGAGAAATGAGAATGATAAATGTTGTTTGCTGATGTATGCACGATCGAAAATGAAAGCATTTACAGGTCTCATATTTATTTCCTTACTAAACTCTTGACTATACTTTTGTTATGAGGATTATATAATGCACACGTTGTATCCGTGTGTGGTGGCTAACCGACCATTATTTATGTTGGTGTAAATCCTTCATAACTAGAAAAGGTATGTTGGAAGTGATTTAGGGGCGCGTGAGTACCAATAATTGATGAACCATAAGAATTGAAATGAATGAAGTGGCATAGATTCAAGAATTGAATGATTGTATTTGATTAAGTGTGAAATATTGTGCATTGATGATTTTTGTTTAGTTCAAATTCTATAAATGAATTGTTCCTATCTCTGTGTATACTTTATTAAATATTACTTTCTGTGTTATTTTGATTATTTTATAAAATAGGGATTTAGTGGAGCGGATAATACTTACCTTTACAAATATTTTCAGGTAATGAAAATAAAAAAAGATTAATCCATTCTAAGATCTTACTCGTAGTAGATTGTAAGAAAAATAATTAGTCTATTAGGATGTAACTTATTTTAAGGACTATAGTAATAATATTGATTAAGTTTCTATTTATAGTTAACAATAATATGTAAATATTTTAAATATTAATCTTAAAATTTACAATATTTTGATAAACCTTGTTGTAAAAAATGATTTAAAGTACATTTATAATATTTAGTAGATAAATATTTTAATTGTAACTAACATTTAGCCATAATTTTAAAAAAATGCTAAAAAGCAATGTTATTTATGTTTTAAAGTTATCTATACATAATATGAGTTAAAGAAAATGTTAAAATTGGAAATTTTAATTTTATTATAATTATAAATTTAGATTGCAAAACTATTTTATATTATTATCAATGAGATTTGTGTATAAAGTTTTAAAATTTTAGCTAACTTTTATCGGTTTAAATTTATATAGATGTAAATCTTTTTAATCTAACTATATCTTTTATCTATTTTAATTAAATTTTATCCATATTTATATATTTAACAAAAAAAATATTTAAATTATAAAAAGGATGTTATATCTGTACTCACAAACGTTGCCCACAACTTCATCCTCCGGAGTCTATATGGAAGGACAAACCAGTTGTGAGTCGTATATTCATCCCTGTCCTTCACCTACATCCCCAATACTTGTGAGAGCCACAAATGAGGTGGGACCGTCAAGGTGGCCTCCACCACTATTTCCACCTTCCCGCTCTCCGCTTCTGATATCCGGAAGATAAGAGAGTGACGATGAAGACATGATTGACCCCTAGTTCCCAGACATTGAGGCATCCTTTTCTTCTTCCAAGGAGATAAAGACAAACTTCGTGGAGGATTACACTACCTTGGATGACCTTCCTTTTCATTAGATATGTGTGTAGTAGTATTGGAACTGCTCTTAGCCTGTTAATGGATTTAGTTTGTTTTGTTTGATGGGCGCTACGATGGAATGACTTTTGGATGTATTTTGGAGTACTATTTTATTTTCTTCTTGTACTTATCCTTTTAGTTCCTGCATTAATGAACTTTCTAATGATTGACTCCATTTTATTGCTAGACTTTATGACCATTTATACTATGATCCCCTTTGAAAAAATCAGTTGTATGAATATTACTTTGCTTGTTTGACCAGGTCTTGTTCATGAATGCTAGGGCCTTGATAGTTTATTGAAACATGGAATTAAATATAAAGGTAATCTGGCCATATGTTATGGATGTTTACTCTTATACAAGACCAAGTATAATAGAAGAAATGTATCCATTTACTTGTGCGATTATGCTATTACGTACGTTAACATGTATGTGTGTGTACTACTTGTATGTTATTAGGTCTAAGTGAAGTCTCACAATATTTGTATTCATTTGCAATATGGTTCATATATTTTTTTTATATAGCTTAAATTTCTTGTGTTAATATAAGAAAATTTATGAATTTGTGATTCGAATCAAAACTTAAAAATATAATAATTACATTTTAGGAGTTAAACTAAAATTTTTATTTAATACCTGGATGTATTTTTTAAGTAGCAATTGTAATAGCAAATAATAACAAAAGAGTAAGAAAACGTGGCAAATTAAACACGCTAAATTTGCTCTAGGTAATTGTTATTAGTATATATACCGTATTGCTTATAAATTTAGAAATTGTTTATTGATAAAATAGATTATCGCTTAAATTTTTAGGTACTGAACAAATATGAAATTATGCACTCTAGACAATGATTCATTAAAAAATAAAAATTATTTTCTTAAATTTTACTAAAAGAGATTAGATTCGAAATTACATGCATAACAAATTAAAATAACGATATATAAATTTCTTTATCATTCGCGTATTATAAATTTTCTCATAGTTTTATGATAAAATGAAATTAATAAGTATATTTCTAAAATAAAATATCAAATAGGTTATCCGATCCATAAGTTTTATCCTATTTTATATATTAACGTATTGCATTATCATACTCGAGAATTACATACATTAGGTAAACTATTTTGGTAACTAATAAAAGCCAATACATAGTGGTCATTACAATTTAATAGCATAACTTATAAGTAGCTTCTAACTTTTGGTATGTGTTAAGGAAAGAGAACGAGGTAACTCATTCAAAACTTCATAATTGTCTGTCCCTGAAAAATTATTTGACCAGGGTCTGCAGCAGAAGATGGAAGAATATATTTATTTTATTTATGAGATATTTGTCTAGAAAAAATTTAAAACATCAATCCTACCTTCAGATGTGGAACAGTTTGAAATGATTTGTCTGTCTCTCTAAAGATGTGAACCTGGAAGGTGAGTTTAGTCCTAGGAAGGAGTTCAAAAGTGCAAACATCACCTACTTGCAAGTTATTGTCTTTGACAAATGTCTTCCATCCCCTGGAGAAATGAAATCTCGTTTGTGCTTTCCTTTTTTGGTACTTAACAGGCCAAACTCTCCCATTCAACACCTGAAGATCTGTGTCTCCATACTGCTGGTGCACATCAAAGTGCATCTTACAAAACTTTGATGGTAAACACTGCAATGGAAAAGAGTAAAAGTTGTTTTGTTTCTTATCTTATTTTCTAAATCATTGTTTAGCATGTTACTTACCATATTACCACCAGACACGTACGATGGATACATAACCATCGAGAACGACGGATTACAAGGCTTAAAAGAACTTGCTCTATCAGGAACTGTAATTTTCTTATTACTAATCACTTCTTTTTCTGCAAAAATAGAACTAAGTAAGCTAGACATTTAAATGATCAACTTTAGGCAGCTAAAAATTGAAACCTACTATAACGTGTTTATTAGACTTAGCAGGCCATAAAAATATAAAATGAAAAAAGTAAATTAAGAAGAACTTAACCTAATTAATGCTCTGTGCTGAGTCATAAAGGGTTTTGAGAGACACTTAAAACCACATAAATTCTTATACCTTCGCACTTTGTGTCGGTATGATGAAGAACCGTATCTGGCAATTTCAAGATGTTCTCAACTTCAACACATTTGCAGGTTCTCTTTCTACTTGGTTGAAGAAATTCCAAAGGGGAGTTATCTTTCCTCTTTTGACTTAGTTTGTAATGTTCCATGCTTTCATTATTTGGAGGGTTGCTTTCTTGATCATTGGAGGCCATTTTACCATTTACACTTTCGAATGGGTAGTTTATCTCTAAGGCACTCATATCAAAGATTTGTACCTGAAAATGGGAAGTTCTTTCATATCTGAAGACCAAGAGATGCCCGTGGCCTAGAGAGTGATACTCCGCAAATTCTTTCCATCCCTTCTGAAACCATATTTTATCATCACGTTTTACCAAATTTAATTTCCATTCCGTACCATTTGGAGGCTTAAGAAATATAGTACTTGGCAAGGCTTCTCCATGTTTCTCCACAAATGAAATTGGGATCATCTGTCAGTCACATCAAATTAATTAATTATGTATTATAAAAGCTCAGAAAGGAGATATATATATATTGCATTAATTTAAGCAATATCTATCAATATAGTTAAGAAATAACCAAGGCTTCTCCACGTTTAACACTGCATGCTCGCACTGTAGTATTTATGCACAAGAAGGGAAAGAAAGAGTATAACCTTACCAAATCAATACTTAATCATGCATATTTCGTTAGGCATTTTCGGAAAAATAGTACATTTTTATAGTTGAAAAAATAACAGTTGTCTCAATAAAATAAGATGAATCAAACATGCTCTAAATACTTGACTAGTAAATACCTAAAAAAGTTTGAGAACAAATTATCGGTGGCATAAATTACTTTGCTACTATTTTGTGACTAAAGTAATCTACTGCAATGAGATTTTAATAAGTTAGTCCATGTGGTTCAAGTTTTTTTTTGTGATTGTGAACAAGGTGATAAAAAATGCATGACCCAAATAGAGTCAGTTATATGGCTCATGCATCAGTTTCACGTCTGATATTTCTCTGGTCCATTCTGAGCTTCAGAAAAGTGAGAAAACAAATTAAAAAAAAGAAAAAGTAGTAATTAATCAAGAGCATGTTCACCAAGGTTTAAATTCAACTTAATATATATATATATATATATATGCATGCATACATAAGCAATGTTACCCACGGACTAACAACACATTTTGACCTGGTGCAGTTGTCCATAATCAAAGGTTTGCATGCTTAAGCGCTACACAAAGTGACTCAAGAAGGGTAACTAGGTAGCTAAATATTGTTTTACTTGTGCATCAAACTTGAAATGTATATGCATACTAGCTTTTCCTCATGAAGGCTGGGAGCGGTTATGATCCTGAAAAAGTGAATTGGCTTCATGTGAGGTTGGCGAGTACAGTATTAACCATGCATGAGCTTAACAAAACTTAAGCGAGGACTGCACTTTAATGGCTGGATGATAGCCATGAATCAAGAGAAATGGAAACCGCTTTTGCAGATGTAATGGCTTTCCATAAGCAATAGAGTAAAAGCCAGATTTAATGTAAAAAACTCTAGTACCCAGGCATGCAAATGCGTTAGGATAATTTTCTTCCCCACCAATGTTCAAGGGCTTCTTGGAACTCAACAAAAGTCTTAACTTTTTTGTTTGACCAAGAATCTTTCACGTGCAAAACTGGGAGATTGAGTTCATTGATGAAGGTTTTGAATGGTGATTAAGTAGAGTACTCTCCGAAATGAGAACTCTATAAAGAGAATATACAAGTAAATATGAAAGAAAAATTTGAAAACACTAGTTAATATTAGCCTTAAAGATATATAACCATATAGAAACTTGCAATATTCCAATAATTATTTTGGTTGTTGAATTTTTGTCAACTAAAAGGTACGGATTAATTCATTGCTTCGTCTACAACTTTCTGTAGTAAGTGCTGTTTGGTCAATAAGAGCATTTTCCCAAAATGCATGAAAGTTTTAATAATATCAAGGAAACAAATGAAGCAGCTACACAAATGTTATGATGAATGAGTTATCACACAAAATGGAAAATCACATCTTTGTTTGATTTTTTAATTTTTTTTTTTCAAGGGGAAGTGGTGAAAAGACATATCTTTATTCAAAAGCTTCTAGTTAATCAAACAAACTAAAACAGATATATGTTAGTACATGGTGCTTAAAATTTTTTCTGAACACTGTATTTCCGAAGTTTTTTTTCCCAAAACTTCAATTGTTTCGCGAACAATGTTTGCTTTGAGAATATATTATTAACCTTGATATAAAATAAATGTTCAAAACCAATTGGGTGCGATATATTATGTTAAAGGAAAATATAACAGGTACTCGTTAGCTAGTAACTTTAATAGGCTTTCTTGTTTTTACCAAGATTATGGTAGTGCCTGGCTCATGTTATTTTAGACTTCTTTTTTATTTTAAAAGGAGAAAATTTATTTATTTTTTACTTTTCTTTCTTTATTCCAAATCTGAAGACCCAAACATATGCTCTCTAAGAAATGTAAGCCAAAAAAAACCTTAACATTAAAAAAATTGTAAAATAATCAATAACTTAAATTTAAAGTTCTTATTTTTAACTAATTTAAAGTATATTTAGACATCCACAAAATCAAGGTCAAACTCTACCTAAAATACTATTCCTAGATTCATAAGATAACACATGTTTGAAGGTATCCCTATCCAAGCTTATTAATAACTAGTGTCCACATCTAACACGACAAGTTTCAACTAAGCCAACGCTATACCAAGAAACAAAATAATATTAACATATAAATCCTATATTTCCTATAAATTTCTAGAAATTATAGTAGAACTCTCTTAAAATATGAACATCTCAAAATAATACAAACCTGTAAAATGTAAAAGATTTAACAACCAAACTAGAACCGACAAATCATATCACAATGACACATTAAATAAATAAAAAATGTTAAACAAGTTACACTTTAAGATTGTCAAAATACAGAACCAAATCCTACTTATAGGGATGAAAGAAACTCTAATGAAAAATGCAAAACACAATGCCGTTGTATGGCTTTGCAATGTGCGATGCAGCTATGCTTGCCATGTGAGCTTTTCTGATATCTTCACCACTCCTCGTTGCAAACTAACAAAAGCTTTCGAACTTTTCCCCCATATTTGATTCAGTTAAATTTTGGTAGCAATCACTTTAATTTTATAAACTATTTTATATCAATACATCATCACGTTATAAACGGTGTATGTAGGAACAAATTAACTTATAATATAAAGATTCTTTTCGCTGTCATCTATTAGTCAATATTCATATCTGTTAAATTATTTGACAATAATTAATATGAAAAATAAATAAATATATATATATATATATATATATATATATATATATATTATTTGACAGTGCAAAAATATTTTATACTAACTGTGCACTAAAATTAAATTTTTAAAATTGATGTATGCGTGTGAAATTTTAACCTCAACTCTAAAATTTAATTCCAACAAGTAATAATAGTATTTTTTTTTTATTTAAGAAATTAAATTAATCAAGATTTTATAATTTTAACCTAATAAATGTATTTTTTTTAAAAATAAAATGTCATTACTTCTAAATTTAGTCTTAAGAATTGACATTAACAAAATCTTATAAATAAAAAGTGTTAGCCTCAACTTTAAATTTGAGTTTAAGTAATTAGTAACAGTAAAATTTTATCAAATAAAATTATTTATTACACTTTATAACTTTAATGTAATAAATTTTTAATAAAAATTAATATTTTTAAATACTTAAACTCGGATTTCATGGTAAACAAAATCATGTATATATTAATTATCACTTTAGTGTATTATTTGCTATAAAATTTTCTGCTGTTAGGTGTATTCTTCTTTAAGAATCTCAAGTAAAACAAATTAAGTTATGGCCACGAGTTTAGTCCAGAAGCTACAAAGCCTATGGAGAGAGAAGGAAAATTATTATTTATTTTCGATTGCTGTGTTTGTATAGTTAAAAGATTAGCTTTTTTAGATTAGATAATTTCATAGGAGCTAAGTTGAAAATTTGTAAATTGAAATGTGTGATGTAAGGGTTTGAGTATTTACTCAATTATAATAACAATGATAATATTTATTTCTGTTGCTAATAAAAGAATATTATTATTTATTTTGAGAGTATATTACATTACTTGCAAGCAATATAACACATAAAAGCTGGATAATCATTCGTTTGTGAAATGGCTAAAACATGTGTAACATGCAACGTACATATACATTTGGTTTAAAATATTGGAAAAATATGAAAAAAATTTAAAGTGCCTAGAAGACAGATTAAGGGATCTATTTAAAAAAAATAAAGAATTTTTTAAGTTATTAACTAGAAGATGCGTTAATAAAAAAAAATTTACAACGAGTTTTTACATTAATTAATAATTAACTAATTTAATAAAAAGTGTAATAATATTTTTGAAAATAATATAAACTTTTTAACACCAATTATCAAAATAACTGATGTATTCAAATTCAACTTGAATCGATATAAAAAATATTTTTAATCAGGTCTAAGATTTTTTACACATCCAAACTCTTATTTGATTTATAAAAACATAAAGTATATTCTTATTACTTCCTTATTATGGATTGAATTGCAATAATTGAAAAGTGAGAAAAACACGTGCTTTATATTTATTTATTATTGCAATAATTGCAACAAAGCATACACATCTCTAGAGTACATGATTTTCCGTAATTAGCGCTTCCTCAAGCATCAACGTGATTAGCTTTCCTAAAAACAACGTCTAACGGATAGTCTTCCGTCACAACCAAGGTCTTGTGGAAGTCAAGAACATGAAGCCCAATATGAACACAAGTGTCAGTGTCTGCTGCACAAAAGCGAAGCTTATAGGCAAAGCTAAACCCACTTTTCTCAATATTAAACGAGCCCCTTACTGTATGATCATAACCAGTGAGTTTAACAGCTGGTCCTTGAGGCAGACCCTCGACAACAGTCCACTTTGATGGAGTGGGGGCACACTTAGGTACAGTAGTGAATGCCAACTCCAGACGAAGGTCCGTAGTGATAAAAGCAATTAGGGCTGGGCTTGAAATTTTGATGGGTAGTCCTGGATCCACCTCACTGTTCTCTACTACAACAGTTAGAGGGCATGTTTCGTTTCCAGTTTTGGCGTATGCTATTCCCCCGCCCACTGCCCATATAGCAGGTAAGATATGATATGCGGCACCATTTACAATTGGATTACCATCGATGTCCAACACAAAATCAGCAGTGGCCCAAGGTAGGTATGAGAATAAGGCAGACGAGAAAAGAAAGAGAGCAAACATGGTAGTGCCCTTCATTTCGTGGATTACTTGTGAATGACTTATTCAGTGGCGAGGGTGTGTGCAGAGTTATAGAAAGATTGTTGTATTTATAGACATGTATGGTTTAATAAGTATAATATAATAAATTAGTGGTCCAAAACTTTGTACTAGTCCAAATCTCAGAGATTAGTTTAAAATATGTATAATAAATTGCAATTCCTATCATGAAGAAAACGAAGTTATCAATAGACGGATCGGTGTACAGTTGTCCACGTGATAAAATTGTTTAAATAACCTTTTTTATGTATATTGTAGATATAGATTGTTTCAAATTACGTTAGCTAGTAATTAATAAGTTGTCGTCAGCACTCATGAAAATAATTATACCACCAGCACTCTTCTGATATGTTGGAAAATGTTCTAGATCTCGCATAGTAATTAAATTTTCTTTTAGTAAATGAAAGATCAATCTCATAATATTTAAGCTTTTATAAAATATATTAAAATTAAAAATTCTTTAACTTGCTTCGTATGAAAATAATTATACACCAATCCTGCAATATACGGGTTTGTTTTAGTTTTCTTATTAAATTAATTTATTTTAAAATATATAATTATAATTTATATATAAAAAATATATGATAATAAAATTTTATATTAAATAATGTCAAATATAATTTCATTGAAGAGGAAGATTATGAAATACTTTTTTATGTATAATATATTTTTTATACTTTTTATCCTCTTCAACAATAATAATTTTTTTTCTTTTGTTGATATTACTCTAAACAATGCAACATACAATTAACTATGATTAAGTATAGATTTTGGTAAATAAAATTTAATAATTATCTTTGATTTTTGTTTATTGTTATTGCATACTATACCTTTTGATAATTCTCATACTAACATATCTCTTTCATACAAAATTATATATCTGCAGTTTAAATAAGTTTGGATCTCATCAACTTCTATTATTTGTGTTGATTTTTTTGTGTTTTAGATAAAAATATTATCTTTAATTACTATTGTTGCTCTACATAGGCATTTATGAAGATATTTGAAGAGATATTTTATATAACCTTGAACTTATTGCACCATTCAATATTTAGATGTGTCTAAAATATGAGTATATATGGAACCACAAACATGTTATCCAAGTTGATATTTCATTTTTTGACATGTCTTCCATCTTCTCGTCTTCAATAAGTAGAAAAGCCAACAATATCTATAGTTGTTTCATTAATAAACTTTTTAGGATAATTTTAGTTGCAAAAGTCATCAAGCATACAAGGTGCATATATGTTTGTAGCTCCACATAGTTCATGCATCATGAATTGTAAAACAACATTCATGGATATTGATTATTTTGGTGAAGTCATAGTAGGATTTGAGTATGTAATAGACCTCTTTTTTGGAACTTAATGGTGTATATAGCTAAAAGTAAAAATATATACAATTAGTAATTAATAACAATAAGATTAAAGTTATAAATAGAAAAATTAATGTTAAACCTTTTTAGCTATTATACATTGATCAAAGTATTGTTTGTCCAATAAGTGTAACATCTTTATTTTTATATTTATTATTATGGCATTGTATGTTAGTTGTATGTGTGAAATTGTTTGAATTTAGAAGAGTTTAAATGATGTAAGCTGCATGATCTCTCGCTGTAGTGAGAAAGAGCGTCAAGAATTAGGCTCTCTAGAGCTCTCTCGCTATAGCGAGAAGTGGATAAGGATGACCCATCAGCATTCTCGTAATAGTAAAGGAGCTATCGCTGTAGCTAGAATGACAGACAATAAAGGAAAAATACTGTCTAATTTTTCCATTGTAACGAGAGAAGAGTTTACTGTAGCAAGAATGTCGCGAGTTAAGGGGTATTTAAGAGTTTTTAACTTAGAAAACTAGGATTATAATCCAAGTCACAACCTCTCCTCGGTTCTCTTTAATTTCTCACCCTTTTTTTCTCAGAAAACTTCTTCTAAAACTTCAATCTTCCTTCAAATGTGGGTTTAGAAGTTCAACTGATTGACTCTAAGTAAGTTCTTAGAGCTTAGTTCTCCTATTTTTGTTTGTTTTCTCTATTTCTTACTTATCAAAATGCTTTCTTTTGTGATACTTAGGAAAAGTTTGATTCTTTCACCAAAATATCTCATAACTCTTCTTTCAAAACTTCATTTCTTGTATGTAAACATATGATTGAATGATATGTAGGTATTGTGAATAGGGATGGCAATGGGTAGGGTACTACAGTACCCATCCCCATACCCGCATGGGTATAAACATTAATCCCCGTACCCATACCCTCTGGGTACCCGCATACCCGTCTTGTACCCATTACCTGCGCTTGTTTGAGAAAAAAATATTTATAAAGAAAAATATGTTTATATAACTTCACATAAGTAGCATAATAATACAAAAATTTAATATGTAGTTGCCGAACAAGGTACAAATATAGATAAAAAATAAATATTCAAAGATCATAAATGCTAAATGTATCTTAATATAATAATTTTCTAAACTAAAATTCTTAGAAACAATAAGCAAAAACTAAACACACAAGTTATTTGTCAGTGATAATTCTATCTTGTGTGAGATTTGATTGTTGGTAATGTCAAAACGACAACGAAATAGATCTATACAATGGTTGTCCTTTCGTGTGGGATCACTTAGTAACCTCTTGTGATGACATTAACAACTAACTCTAATGAATAATATTTCATAGTTATTAAGTTTTAGTGAGACAGACATTGAGAATGAGAATAGAGTTAAAGTAGAGAAGTTCAATACTAATAACAGAAAGCTGATACATAAATTCTTTTTTTAACTTTTGAATTTGAAATTGTAAGAAAAATAATATATTTAATTAAAATAATATAATATAATTAATATATATATATATATATATATATATTAATACTAGTATTTTTTAACTCATATACTATACGAAAGTATTTTATCAAAAATATAAATTTTTGAAAAATTATTTTAGTGAATTAAATATTTATAATGTATATAAATTTTAAAAAAATGAATTTGAATAAAAGATAAATAGTTACAATAAAATTTTATAATAAAGAAATATACGTGTATATTAAAAAAATTATACTTTTTTATCTTAAAAAAATTAACAAATAAAAATTAACAATAATTTTTTATATTTATATCTTTTCAAAAACTTCTTTGAATGTGAATAAATAGTAAGAATAATATTATTTAGATTTAATAGATTATAGTTGTGCTTGTAATACATATGTTATATAGAAAAATATTATTTTAAATTAAAATATAAAACTAAAATTTAAATATTATTAATAAATAATAAATTTACTGTAATAGTAAGTGATTGTAAAATTTATGAAATATTTATTATTTATCATTCACTTTATGATTTAAACATCAATATAATTTTATTAACAAAAATATTTGTGTAAAAAATATTTTATGTGTGTCATATATAAATAATATTTTAAAAAAAGTCAATCTTATATTAACTATGTAATAATTAAATTGTGTTAGCCTAATTAAATGATATAAAATAGTAAATAAATTTTTCTATTAAAAATGTAAACCAAAATAAATTTTTTGGTTTATTTTATTATTAAATATATTTTTATATTAATCTTATATAACTTCACATAAGTAATATAATAATACAAAAATTCAATGCATAATTGTAGAATAAATTTCAAGCATATATATATATATATATATATATATATATATATATATATATATGCGGGTATGGGGCGGGGTGGGTACTTAGATACCCATACCCGCACCCATCCCCATTAAAATTTGCGGGTTTTTACCCACACCCATACCCGTACCCATATAGTGGGTAAATACCCTACCCATTGTGGGTAAATTTTGCGGGTGCCCATTGAGTACTTTACCCATTGCCATCTCTAATTGTGAAAAGTTATAATGATGTATATTTGGTTAATTTGAGATGATTGTACTGTATGTTTGTTGTATATGATAAGGATTTAGTCTAGAAATGTCTTGAGTAAGTATGATTCTTTTATTGAATGATATTGGATTGTGGTGAAAGGTTAATGAAGTATGTTTGGCTAATCTTGGGTGTTAGTACTATATTGTAGTAGTATACATGTTTTGGACTTAGTTCGGAAGTATTTTATTAAGCATGATCTTTACCTAAGTAACGAGTGTGATCACACAAAAAAGAGTATGGGATGAGTATAAAGTACTGAATGGATCTAGTGTGAATAGTTACAGAGATACACTAGGGTTATAGAGTCTGAAGACAATGAAAAATATGGGAAAAATGTAAGGTAGTGAGCGACATTCGCATATATTTACACACTTTTTTTAGAGCAAATGCGTCACATGACCTTACACTCATTTCCTAACTAGACTCCTAACTATACCTTTGCTAAGAGACCCGTCATTATATATGTTGTATCCATGTACATGGGCTAACCGGCAATTATTTACCTAGTTGTGTAAGATCTCAAGAAGTGTTGAAGGCATAAATGTCTTTGATCACATTGCACTAGGAGTGCGTAATTAGAAAGAGAACGTTATAGAGTATGTACATGGTTGTGCAAGGATTGTTGATGTATTGCTCCTATGATTAATAAGATTATATTTCCTTTTACTCTATAATTACAACTATGTTGTAATGTTAATAATGTAATTTTGTTATGTTTGATGATAAGATAGATGTTCATTCTTATTAAATATTTTAGGAAGTAAGGATTAAGGCACCACAAAGACAACTTAGATTACTAGATTATCTTATCAGTAGTAGAATGAACTATGACTTTAGAGAGTATCAGCATTTTGTGTATTTTAACTTTAATATGAATTGTGAGGATGATAACATATGGACTATAGAGATAAATTTAAATTATAATGTTCCTTTCGAGTTTCCTGTAAATAGTCATATCCATCGTATCTTGTGTTTTTATATCTACGGAGGAACAGTTAGGCCCCTAAGGGTTGTAAATAATGTCTTTACATTTCACGACCATGACTTTTTTGGGAGACACATCCAATATACATTTGAGAGATATTTAAGTATAGA